TTTATTAATTTATTCTTTAATTTTATTCTTTTATATTTTCCAAAATAACAACGTTGTTCATGTTTAGAACATTTTGGAATAAAAAAAGGTTTTATTTAATACATTTTTCGTTGGTGTGAGATTATTAATAGCCTACCATAATGGTCAGTAGGGCTCCCGAGGATTTTTTGCTTGGGGCCCCCACAGACTCTAGAATCGCCTCTGAGGGAGAGCCCAGTTCCCCGGCGAAGAAAGCTCATTTCAGCTGCTTGTATTCTGGATCTCGTTCTTTCGGTCATGATCCAGATTGCATCACCATAAGTGAGGGTAGGAACGTAGACCGACCTGTAAATTGAGAGCTTTGCCTTCTCGCTCAGTTCTCTCTTTACTACGACAGACCGCATTATTGCAGCAGCTGCACCGATCCGTCTATCTATCTCCCGCTCCATTCTTCCCTCACTCGTGAGCAGGACCCCAAAATACTTGAACCATGGCCTAGGACTTGGAGGAGCTGATTCTCATTCCGGCCACTTCACACTCTGCTGCGAACCGCCCCAGCGCACACTGTAGGTCTTGGTAGGAGGGAGCCAGCAGAACTACATCATCTGCAAAAAGCAGGGACGAGATCCGCTGGTCCCCAAACCAGACCCCCTCTGGTCATTGGCTGCGCCTAGAAATCCTGTCCATAAAAGTTATGAACCGGACCGGTGACAGAGGGCAGCCCTGTCAGAGTCCAACATGCACTGGGAACAGGTCCGACTTAATGCCGACAATGCGAACCAGACTCCTGCTCCACTTGTACAGAGAATGGATGGCCCCTAATAAAGGGCCCCCGACTCCATACTCCTTTAAAACTGATGCATATACAATTGCTCTGTCTTATAATACAATTTGTTGCATTAACACTAGAAAGCCCAGAGATACAAGAATTTTCGTCAGCCACGAGTCCCCCCACCAGTTTTTCACAACTCACGAATCCCTTTTCAGATGTAAATTCCCCATTCGTGCTGTGGCTTTAGCACCATTCCACCCCCTTCAGTTTCAGTGTCAGCTCAAGTCTCTTTCTTTGAGAGTGTTTTACCTGAGCCCAGAGGGGGAAAAATATTATATTTGTAATTAAATATAACTAGGTCTACGTGACCAGTGTCGCCAATACCGCAGTTATTTCAGCACAGCCACCAGTGCAGCGATCAGACGATAACTGTACAATGAAAATAGCTGCATGAGCTGGAACGCTGTAGAAAGCAAGAATATTTATACAATAATGAGCATCTGGCTTATTTATTTGGAGGGAAATAAAACTCAAGCGATCTCTTCTCTCTCCTCCGCTGCAGACATGCAGACAGTATCGTGAAACTGCAGTAAAGTTGGCAATATATTCACAGAGTCGGCTTTTCCGGATTAATAACTCGTCCGCGGATGATTTATTCTACAAAACAGACATCTCTCCACAACCAGAGCAGACAGTGAGCTACAACCATAGTTTTCAAAAAACGAGTCTCCTATCGTGCTGGGATAATCACATTGGACCCAATGCAGAGCTCGCTCCCCAGCAAATGTGCAGGAGGAGTGAGCTCTGCAAGTTGCAAAATAATCAGAGAGGAATATTCAAAAGCGTCACCAAGGAGAGGTGGATTATTATCACATTCATTTCATGTGTATCTCATCTCATGTCTTTCATATCACATCAATTGGATTCGAAAATAATACTTTTATGAGGAATTTCCAAAAGCCTAAATGACAAATGGCACCTCTATTTTATTATTAGAATAAGTATAAAATGAACAATGACTACACTATAGATCATTGTACTTCCACCAAACTTGTAGGATACACAGATCACACAGATCATCTGGATCATACTACAACTCTTATTTTGGGAAGACAGGCCAAACTTTATTTTTGGTGATTTATTCATGTTATTATAAGCATGTAAAAGCCAATAATGACACAATAGATCATTGTAGTGCCACCAAACTTGTAGCACACATAGATAACCTCATCTAGTTCATACTACAACTCTTACTTTCAGAATATGTACTAAACTCTATTTTTTTAGATTTTTTCATTGTTTTTATAAGCAGGCCAGGTGCGAAATCTCTACAACAGGAACCACAGCACTGAGCAATGTGTGCACTGCACAAAGTGTGACTGCCACAAATGCAGGAAGGACTCACCTTGGGTTTGTTAAAACTGCTAAATGGGACAATTTTAGCTTCATATGTAATGCTTTTACTTGGGTGAAATAAATGTTACTCCAATACCGAAATCCAGTGTTGGGCAAGCTACTTGTCCAGTGTAGTGAGCTAAGCTATCAGTTACTCAAC